TAATCAATGAGCAAGAATAGGAAATCCAGGAGTAAAGATCCACCTTCCAGAATTTACTGGAATGTGATGTGTAATAGTTGTGGGATTTCAAATTAGTAAAGAAAAGACAGACTGTTTGATTAATGTTATAAGGAACAATGGGATAGTCTCCAGAGGGAGGCCGTTTAATCCCTATATCCTACACATATTCTATGCAAGGTAAATTAAACATAAAAGTTGTTGAATAAATTTAAAAAAAAACCTTTTAGTGAGAAAGGTTATTTAAAAGGGGACAGTAAACCCAATTGTCTCAAAGCAGAAGATTAAAATGTGTAAATACACAAAGTGAACATTTATTACACTGAAATACATTATATGGAAAATTTTAAAAATTCACGATTGAGATATGAATTCTAGGTTTTCTTAATTCCCCTTCACAGACTTTCATAAGAAAAATCTTACTAAGATTCTCTTCTAAAAGAGAATTTTCTTCAAGAGAAAGAACTGCAGCGTAGTGTTCCACTGAATGAAAAGTCAACCATTTGTTTAACCCACTCTCCTTTGATGACGTGTTGGCTTTCTCTTTGATGAGAAGGACATGGGAGTACCATTCTGTAATTCCTAAATGATGTTTTGCTTTCATTCTCTTACGAACAAAGCTGCTGTGATCCTTCTGGTCAAGACTTTGGGTAGACGTCCACATTTCTTTGCATACACCTGGGATTAGGACTGCGGAGTTATAAAACAGGCACATGTCTGATGTTAGAAGAAATCGTCACGCAGTCTTTCTATTCACACCAAACACTACCAAGAACTATGAATCCCTAAATTTAGGATTAAAAAGGGAATTCCACAAGCCTTCCCCATTCATCACGCTCAATGGTGATACATGGGAAGTATTCCCCTTAAAGACAAAAATTATCATTTCTATTCAATACCGTCTCAGAAGGTATCACATAATAAACATAAATAAAATATGTGAAGATTATAAAAGATTAAAATGTATTATTTTCAGATTATTTGAGTGTCTTAGTGGAAAATCCAGTGACTCTAAAATAAAATAGGAACTCTGTGATGTGACTGGATAAAAGATTAATGTAAAAAAAACTGCATACTTACATAACAACCCACTAGAAGACGCTATTTTAAATCATCCCATCTACAGAAACAGCAGGAACTAAGAGGTGCCTGGTACATATAATTTTTATGGGGGGAAAATATCACAAAACACTGCAGTACACCATAAAAGAAGAACTAAACAAATGAAGAAATTTAGCACATTCTTGGGGCAAGACTTCATATCATAAAAATAGGTATTCTTCCCAAATTAACCTATAAATTGAAGGCTGTGCTCACCAAAATACCATTAGAACCTCCACCCATCTTGACAAGAGAAACAAAAGGACAATTTTAAATAAGAATAAGGAGAACGGCTCGTTCATGTGACAAAGATGTTCCCTGTAGTACTGTGTGTACTTGCAAATATGAGAAACAACCCAAATGCTAATCTACATGAGATTGGGTGAATAATCTGAGATTATTCACACACGAAGATATGATATAGCAGTTAAAACAACTGTCCTGGTACTCATATCAATATGGAAAATCTAGAAAATCGAATGTAGAACTGTGAAATCAAGTTAAAGTATATGCACATTACCATAGCATTCACAGAAATTGAAAAACAGAAAGAAAACAAAAACAACCTCTAACCAACCAACATGTTTGCCATAAGTGTGTGTTAGGCAGCTTTGAGATGCTCCCAAAGTACCCCGCTTCCTGGTGCCTAACCTGTGCAGTCCTCTCCCACACGCAATAGGGTTGCTGGCCAATAGTGGGGGTGGAAGTGATGGCATGTCACCACTGAGATTAGGTCATAAAAGGACTGTTTCCACCTTGGGCGTCCAGGTGCACACCTTGGATCACAGGTGCCCTGTCTTGAGAACATTCATGGTAAGGAATGGGGGCTCCTGCCAATCACCGTGTGAGTGAGCCTGGAAGCAGCATCTGCCAACGTCACAACTGCAGCTGGTGAGAGGAAACCCTGAGTGGGAACCAGCCAGCCCACCACACTTCCCTTCCCAACCCTCAGAACTGTGCGAGAAACAGTGATGAGGAACTGATAAGTCTTGGGGAAAATCATTATGCAGCATATATTTATATATAATGTGAAGTACTTCTATATCTAGTGAAATGGTAAATGTGTAGCAATTATATTTATCAATTTCAGGATAAAGGGTAACTCTGGGGAAGGTGTGGGAATGAGGTGTTGGCTTTGCTTTTTTTTAAAATTTCTTCACATTTTTGAAGAACATTTGTCACAGGGTCAACCTGTTAAATCTGGATGCTCCACAAGTGTGCCCGAGGTGTGTGGGGTCAACCTTCTGTGTACGTGGGTTCTTCCTCGGTGGAGTCAACCAACACAGATTAAAAATATTTGAAATAAATCCAGTCTGGACTGACCAGGTACAGACTTCTCACCATTGTTCCCTACGCAGTGCAGCACAACAACCACTTATGTGGACTGACACTGTACCAGGAAAGGATGGTTTAGAGCATACGAGAGTGTGTGTTCAGGTTCTGGGCAACGGTACACCAAGGGACTGGAGTGCCCACGGGCTGTGGCATCCTCCATCCGTCCAGGGCTAATCCCCCACAGACACTGTCATTTTCTGACATTTAAAACATCTATCTACTCCTTAAACATTTTATAATTGAAAATGAAGGATTTTAAAAAGGAAAAGCAGGATAACCATTCCATTTATTAGAGCTCTATAGAGCACCAACAGCTCCTGTAATTGCAGCCCTGAGGGATGCAATTACTTTAATGGCTAAGTAATTTGCATTGAAGAGGGGACATACATCAGGGTATATTCCCACAGCCAGCATAATCAAATGTTTAAGCGCCAAAACCTTCAATCCACTTTAAAAAAGCAACAACACCAAAAATCTTATGTAAGAGCACCTAACAAATAATTCAGGAGAAACAATGTGGTCCTGCCCAGAGACACTCCATATTAAGCCATTTCCAACAGCAATTCACTTGGGAAACTCACCACCGCTCCACTCCGAGGTATTCAGCAAAGCGGACGTGAGGACAGCTGTTGCCTAGTATCCGTATTTAACAAGAGAACCGAAATGGTGTGCAAAACTGCTTTAGTTCTTAAGATCCCCTCAGTCAAAAAGAAGTAAATTATTCACAGTTGGAAAATACGGTGGCATTTCGGGTGGTGTGGTCCCACTCACCCCCACACTCAGCGACACTCACTCAGTGGCAGCCCAACAGGCAGAAGTTAATGCACATGGAAAAGTGGGCATCCGATCTCAAGGGTGGAAAACACGGCTAATCTCGAGGACTTCAGGTCTGCTCACCTGCACCAAGTCGATTAAGTGTGCGTTGACACCTAGCAAGGTGCCCCGCCAGGTACCCACGTGTCCCAGGCTGGGGTTTATCATACAGAATATGAGCTGGCCTATCAGTCCAGAGGTAGCTTTTCCTTTTAATACCGCTCTTCTTGGGGCTGGGGTTGTGGCTCAGTGGTAGAGCACCTGCCTCACACACATGAGGCACATGAGGCACTGGGTTTGATCCTCAGCACCACAAAAAAAGACATAAAGAAAGATTGTATCCATCTACAACTTAAAATTTTTTAAAAAAAATATTGCTCTTCTTCCATTCCCCAAATTGTTGGGCACTTTGAGAAACACTGGTGTGCAGTCAGAGGATGGGAAGAACCACTCCCCTGCTCCAGTGACCAGGTGCAGACTACGGTTCAGGTATTAAAACCTAAACTCCCTCCCTGGCAACTCAGCTGTGACCATGTGGCATTTACCTTCCTGGCCTCTCCACATTCTTCAGCTGGACTGGAACAGAGTGAAGGTGCCTATGAGGCTCCTGGGGGCCGGTCCAGCATCCCTCCCTGTGCCTCAGCTCTGTCTCATGATTAAGGCTTTTCCCCATCAAGTCAAATTTCCTTTCCCTCCACGACACAGAGATCTCGTACTTCACTCTGAGCCCGTCTTTGCCTCTTCTACTCCTCTCTGTTGTCAGTTGTGGTTCAACCCCAGGGATCTACCATTCCTCTCTCCCTCGGCATCTAACCAGCACAACATCAGCATTTCACTCTGTCTCTGACTCCAAGGCCAAGGCAGCCCCGATTTTTTCAGCCCTTTGAACTCCAGGTCTGATACGCTGCAGCCATCCTGGCCACCTACCTGGGCAGACTGTACGTCCATGAGTTTCCGGCAGCTCAACTGCGTGCTGGCTCCTTTGGCTGGCCTCCTCCTGGCCAGCCTGGACTGCTAGCCGCTAGGGCCCCATCCGCCCTAAAGCCAGGTGCTGCCTGAACTCCCCGTCAGAGCAGCCTGCTCAGCTTTCACAGGAAGACCTGCCGGTCCTCAAGCTAGACTCTACAGAGCAACTCGCTGGGTTGCCCCACACCACCCTTCAAATAAGTTTCACAAGAAAAATGGGCTCCTTGGTCTTACTATTTTAGGATTTTGAGAAAAAGCAATGATAGGTATTTATTTCTTATTTCATAATGAGGATTGTGTTGAGGGAAGAATATACACAGCTTGTATATGAATGTTCTTCTTTATGTTCCTTTAACTGTCAAAGACCTGTAATTCAGGGCCTGGGTGCATATGGTTCAGTGGCAGAGCATGGGCTTAGCAAGTGTGAGGCCCTGGGTTTCATAGGCAGCACCCCAAAAATAAAACACAAAACCTTGGGACTCAACACCAAGGCCCCAGGGCGGATATGTATTCTGGGTGCACGGCCACTCCCACCTGACCTGAGAGGTAACTATAGTGACTCTCAGTTACTGAGCACTTGCCCTGTGCTGAGCACAGGGCTAACACTGGACATGGATTATCTCACTGCATCTTCCCAACAAGCCTGCCACCCATCCTGCTCTCTGGGTGAGACCTGGTGACCGAGGACAGGCTTGACCTGCCCTGCAGCCCTGCTTCCCAGCTGGTGCCCTTACACCAAGTGCCCGCTGAACATGAGGAGCGCTCACCTGCGCACGGGCTGGCAGCAAAGCCCACCCTCTTGTGCGCTCTGTCGAAGACCACATAGAAGCCTTCCATCACGGTGGCACCGATCACCAGCGCGTTGGTAGAGGAGGAGATGCCGAATCGGTAGCACTCGTAGTTCAGGCCAGCCCCCATCATGGGCTGGATGTACAGCTGTGGGGGAAGAGGGGAGGGAAGAAGAAGAAATGGCACCAGTCGGACGACATCACAAAATAGTGATGGTCACCGTAGGCTTGAAGGCCCCCCTGGTGAAGGGAAGCCACAGAAAGACAGATGGCAGCATAGTCCTTGCCCCCAGGAGACAAGATCAAAAGCATAGTGTGACATCCATGCTTATGGAAAGGGATAGAAACATGACACACACACCACCTATAACTTACGCAGGCACGTGCTTACAGAAGGAGTCTGTCTGTCTATCTAATCAGACCAACATGGAGAGGGGGGCCTCACTGCGCTTCCCATGTGCAGGGAAGGTAAGGAGAGGCCTCCGAGGCAGGAGGGACTGTCCTCAGGGTTGTCTGTAGGTGGACATCCAGTGGCTGCTGTTCTGGGGAACTGTCCCTGCAGTACGGCCCTGTCATTGTTGGACTGTCTGTCTGCAGACCCTGGCTCAGGGCCACAGGAACCACACCTCCCTAGATGTCACCACCTTGGCAGAGGGTGACTCTGTGACTGTGTTGAGTGAACGATGGTGCCCAGCCTGACCGAGTCCAAGGACACTGATCTATAGATGCGACCAAGCAGCTCCCTAACACTGGGCAAACCGAACTCGGATCTTTTATTCAGTCCTTTCTGCGTATGTCCCAGTAGATTTTTCCAAGCCATACATCATGTAATATTGGGAAGCTTCAGTCTTGCTGGATCTCAGAATAAACTGTCTGCCCTAAACTAAAATAGCACAAATAGAAAAACCAGTGGTATTTAGGCTGAAAGTAAGTACATTTTTAAGGTTATGTTAAAAAAAAAAAATCAGAATTGCCCTGTCGGCTGACACTACAGTATGCTATTATTTTTTTAAAAATTTTATTGGTGCATTATGATTATACATAATAGCAAGATTTATTATGCCCTATTTGCACACATATCATAGATATAACCTGACTCTGCTGCACTGGTGGTCATCTGCCTGCCTGTGATCGCTGAGGCCTGAAAGCCCCACCCTGAACCTTGTGGCAAGAAGCCCTGAGGATGCCCTGGGTGTCAGTACAGGGGCTGGCTGGGCAGGGCCAGCTGCTCAGGGGTGACTCCCCACGTAATCCCTGATGGGCACAGCAGCAAAGGGAGCTTCCTCCCCCAGCAAGGAGGGGGACCAAAGGAATAGTGAGTGACCTGAGTGAGAACCCAGGACAGCAGCAGGGAAAACAGATCTGTACATGAAAATGTGAGCGGGTCAAGGTCAACCCCCAAAGTCACCCATCTCCAAGAGGGAGTCACAGTGAATTCTCACGAGGACACAGCAAGGGCTCCTTCGTGATAGTCCTGTGTGGTCCGAAGCTTGGTCCTCGCGACAGCTTCCCCACTAGCTTCAGCTCTCGTGGCCAGGAGGAGCCGTGGACAGAGAGCTCTCTGCCTGCCTGCACTCCCCACAGCTGCTTCTCCCGGGTCCTGGGCTCTGTCAATCAACCCTCATGCCCTTATTTACCACTTCTTGCTCACCTTTGTCCTCAGGCTGGCTTTGGACACTGGCTACAAACCACACTGATGAGACAGTGTCCACGTATTGCAGTTTGACTGACCAGTTGTTATAAACAACACATTATTTTAAACATGCTGAAAATCAATCTTTCTAACAGCCGTCTATGCAGGGCGCTCATCCAAGGTTATCTGGAAACGCCTTTGGTAGGCGTTACTCCCTCTCCTTCACAGTGTGAAAGAAGGGCCAAGCCACCTGCTCCAAGTTACTCCAAGTTATTCAAGGGTGGTGCTGACGGTGTCACTTAAGCCCCCATGCCTGGCCTGTGTGTCCTCTGCTGAGCTGCTCTCCTGTGGCTTTCTGTCCTGCCTCCCAGGACCCCGGGATCTGAACACAGGAACAAGTGGTATTGCTTTCTCCTTCAGAAGTCAGTCCCCTCCCGATTCTCCAGTCCCAGCCCTTATCTCCCATACACAGATCACAACGGGGACACACTCCTGTGTCAGCCAGCAAGCACCTTCCCTCTGCTGCCTGCCAGTGTCCAGAGGAAGGCCGTCTCTAAACCTCAAGGTGCTCATCTTCATCCCCCAGGAATTAATAATCAACAGAGAGGAGACACAAGATGACTTTTACAAAGAAAAGAGAAGTCAAATGGAAAGAGGAAAACAGCACAGAATACATCCTAAATCGATGGCCTCACCCCCGAGGAGTGGACGGGCAAACATGCAGCGTGCCTTTGAAGGGCAAGTGCACAAACGGGTGATTCTGTTCAGCGAGTCTCAACAAGAGCCGGGCTTGTTTGAGCTGGGTCTTAGAAGACGGAAGGAATCTGCACACATGGAGGAGGAGAGATGGTATCCCAGGGCCGGTGCTGGTGGAACTCGGGCCAGGAGATGGGAGAGGCTGGGGCACCCCATGAGGGTCGGGGGTGGTGGGAATCGGCTGCAGAGGAGGAACCAGCCTGCCGGGGGAGCTGGTGGTGAGAGGATCTGGGCTAGGGCTGTGGGTCGGGGAGGGGTTGAGGGATGCCGTCTACTCAGGCGCTCAAGACAAAGGAGTCTGTCTGTGGCTACTGGAATTACAGTAAAAAATAATGGTGCCTCCATCGCCGAATAAAATGGTGTGTGGCACATGTTACAAAAGTGCTACCCTTCTTCATGGCCACCCTCCATAATGTGTCTCCGTGGCTCCTCCTACTATGAGGGGCTTCTCTATTCCCAGCCCTGGAATCTGATGACCTTGGGGTCCTTTGGAGGGTACTGAGGAGGAGAGGGCTGCCAGTTCTGAGCCCAGAGGTCAGGGGTCACAGCAGGGATCCTCTCCTTAGAACCCAGTTGCAATGTCAAAGTCAGGTATGGAATGCAGAAAGACACATGGACCCACCATGCTGCCCACCTGGCCCCCAGACTATGCTTAAGGCTACCCTCCAGCCCCCTGTTCTGGGGCCAAGGAAGCCCAGCGCCCCCTACTGACCAGAGACAGGTGAGCCAGCATGGCGGAGACCAGCAGACCTGGGGGCTCAGCACCAGTGTGTGCCTGGGGGAGAAGGCTGTCCAGTGGGGGCTGTGGCACCTGTAATGCACGGGCCTCTGCACAGAGCCCTGGGTTCTGCTCCTTCCTGTAGGAAGCACAGAGGGAGCAGAGGTTCGCGTAGGTACCTGAGGCAGGATGGTGATGCGGAAGGATCGGCTCGAGTTCTCCTCCCTCAGGTAGATGGAGATCTTAGGGAAGTAGGACCAAGGCGTTTCAGAATTCGCCCAGCACGCCAGCTGGGCCCCGCTCCAGAACCCGTCAGAAAATTCTGGAATCTAGACAAAACAAGATCCCGTGAGAAACAGGGAGCAGTCTCGCTGCGCGTCAACAGGAAACAGTGCCCGGCTTGCCTGGTCCCCTCGCCAGACGCCCACGGGCACAATCAGCATTTCATGTGGACAGAGTGGCAGGGACTCCAGCCCCTTGGGGGTGTTGGTAACAATGAAATGATAATCGTAAAAGCTGCTCAGACTCACGGAGCGTGACACTGGGCTGATGCAGCGCTAGTGAACTGGCCTTCAGCCCCAGCCAGGTGGCCACTGGACCCCTTCACTTTGCAGATGAGGCAACCAAAGCACAGAGAGGGGCCGGAACTGCCCCAGGCCACACGGTGGTGGGTGGCAGCCCCTTAGAAGAGAGAAACCCTACTGTGACCCTCAGGGCCCTTTTGGGCGTTGCTGCCCTCTGGATTTCTGACTCCCGCGAGGGCTGGGACCTCGCAGTCCTCCAGATCTTGGCTCGGGTGCCACCTTGTCCCTGATCCTCATGGAGCGCCCACGGCCCCCACTGCACACCTGTCCTGCAGCCTTCCTCCCCGAGGCCCTGACCCCCGGACACTTCCTGGTGTGGGGCAGCTCTGCTTCCAGCCCCAGAGCCTAGGCCCTCTCTCCCTGGGCCCCTTAAGTCCTGACCCCTGTGTAAGGATGAGGCTCAGGGGTGGGGGTAAGAAGGCACCCAGGGACATCAACATGGCCACCAGCTCAGGGCGCCCCCTTGTGCCTCACTGGGAGCGGGAGGGGCGGAGCCAGGCCCACCTGTGCGGATCCTGCAGGTTCCTGACCCCTGTGTCTCTCCCAGCAGCCTCCCCACAGCCTCCCCTCCTCCACCTGGGGCAGGACCACACACCCGACGTGTGTTGAGGCAGAGGTAGGAGAGGACAGAGGGAGTGAGGAGGGATGTCTGTCCAGGGAGCCGAGTATGAGCTCTGGGCCAGGTGGACACACCCCGGGAGGGGCGGCAGGTGGGAGCCACAGCTGGAGTCCTCACGGCTCAGGGAGGAGAGTTTAGGGAAGGAGGACCGAGGCGAGCACAGGGAGGCACCTCAGCCCACCCCAGATCCCCCCGGAATACAGACCCACCCAACACTAACTCAGCACCTCACCTGAAGCACCCAAGCCTAGGGACAGGGCCCAGGGTTTTTATTTCCTTTAACTCTCTGAATGCAGCCCTCTCCTCACTAGAGAGGAGACAAGGCAGCAGAGCCGGGAACAGGCACCTAGCAGGGAGAGGAGCGGCCGGTCCTTGGGCCCGACCCTCCAGGACGACGATGCACGCTGTGGACTCTCTGCCCGATGGCGCGGAATGAAATCAGAGGATAATTTTAGACAAGGCAAGCAGATGCCGTCAGCTCACTCCTTCTCCCCAAGTGAGTGGCTGCCGAGCACGCGCTGTGTGCTCTCAGGAGGCTCCCGCCCCAGGCCCACAGAGCCCAGGCAGGGGGACGCCTGCTGTGGCCACCCACCGACCCTTCACGCTCACCCCGGGGACACTGGTAAACATCAACCATTCAGAGCGCCCAGCCTGAGGAGACCCATGACGACTCCGCGGGCACAGCCCCCCTGATTTAAGGTGGGTCTCGGGTCCCACAAGCTTCCTGGCTTCTCAGCACTAAAGCCCTGACGTGGCGTTTCTGGATCCCGCGGATGCTGGGCAAGCTGGTCATGGGCTCTGGTCCCCGCTGCAGCTGCCAGGATGCCCCGCCACCGCCGAGTCACACAGGCTCCACGTCCTCCCCTCGTCCTTTCTTGCCTCGTCCTTTCTTCCTGTGGACTTGCTGCTCTTCCCATGCAGCTTTAGACTTTGGAAGTTTTGGTTCAGGACAATTGGACCCCCTCTCGCTCCCCACGTTTCTGCTATAAGCTCCAACAAAGTGACAGTTATGCATCTTCTTATCAGTCCATCCTGGTTCCATGGTGGGACACCAGCCCCACGTGACCACCAGCATACCGGCTTTGCATGGAAATGCTCACTTTTGGTGATCTTGCAGAGACGGCCTCAAGTGCGCAGATGCCACAAAAAACACCTACAAAGTCACAAGCGGTGTCCAAACAAGTCGTAGTGGTGCCTCGTTGGGCGTTTCGCGGAAGCTCTCTCCACCAAGTGCCGAGCACACACCAGCTCGGGCCGTTTCACCCAAACTCCCTCAACAGCCCCAGAGAGGAGAAGGCGGAGGCTCTCTGAGGGCAGCTCTCTCCAGGCACCCAGCCGCTGAGTGGCAGAGGCTGGACCCCACCAGATTCCGCTGGACCCCAGTGCTGTATTCTGTCCGGTGCTTTCTGGCCCACCCTGATGTCCTGACTGTCCAGACAATCAGGGTGACACTGAAAGTTCCAGCAGCCAGGTCCCAATTTTAACTGCCCTTCAGAGCATGGCCAGGAAATGATCACTAGTTTTGCCAACTGGCCTTTGTCATCTGTGAAACAAGTCGTTCTTCCCCCAGAAGTGGGGGATGAGATGCCAGCACACGGTGGGTGAAGGCCAAAGGGGGTGATGTTCAGGGCTATCTGTCCTGGCTTAAAGGCCACACAGGCACCCTCGATTCACCGGCACTTTAACATGCAGTCATGCACCCAGTGACAGCGTCGCAGCCAACAACAGCCTGCACCTACGAGGGGGGTCCCGGGAACCACTTCGGAGCTGCCTCCAAGTGACAGTGTCGTCAGCATGGCCACCGTGCAACGTTTTACTTCTCCCACGTTGGTGCTGAAGCTGGGGTACACCCCCGTCCTATGAAAGCACATGATACTGATAACAGTAAGAAATGACCGTGTACAGGAGCCGCCTCGCAGGGCACGCGGCCACTGTGCTCCTGACTGCCCTGCGCCACCAGGCTCCTGCGTCTGCCCGGCCCAGCGAGGCATCTCTCAGAGCACATTCTGTCCTCAAGCCACAGGGGACTGCGGTAGTGTCACGAGTACTGCACCCGCTGCCCTGCGATGGAAACTCCAGGCAGAGTCGACCATACCGGGCCAGCTCCTCGGGGTCAACACGAAGGCGTTACTTACTGGCCAACATCAAGCAGGACATGAACTTTGTAATAATAGGTTTTAAGAGTCCACCCTTCAAAACCTTCAGCGCACACAGAGTGATAGCTCTGTCACCGTGCTGCTAGACTCTGTCACAGTGCACTCCGGGCGTGTGATCAGCACCCAGTGCCCCTGGCGCTGCACAGAGCCCGCGGGACTCACCATGGATGTGCAGGACTCACCATGGACGTGCGGGCCACGGCCTCCACCACCGCGTCGAACACCTTCTGGGGCAGGCGCAGCAGCGTGGTGCCGCTGTCCACGATGGCCTTGTCTGCGTTGTACTAGAAGAGAGGGGACATCTGCATCAGGGCACGCTCCAGCCAGCATGGCTGGACCTGCCGCGTGGAGCGGTCCCATGCCCTCTCCCAGGACCCCCGACCCAGCACAGAGGGAACCCCTTACTTTAGAGGCTGACGTGACTTATTAAGGCCACTTCTGCAAGCTGCACAGATCAACTGTCTACTACCTACTCGTGGGCGAGGAGGACCACCCCCCATAGCTCGCCATGTTCGCATTTGAGAGGAGATGGACAGGACAGGACACCGTGGTGGGCACTGCTGTTGTTTGTGTCTGGAGTGCCCCGAGGCCCACCTGTGAAAGGCTGGCACTCCAGCCCCAGGCGCCCTTGGCAAGTGATGGGAAGTTTAAGAGGTGGCACTTGCAGGAGGCACAGGTGACTGGGGTGTGACCTTGCAGGGGATTGTGGGACCCTGGTCTCTTCCTGGCACCCTGCTTCCCAGCTTCCCACCATAATGTGCTGCATCCCCACAGGCCCGGAAGCAACCGGGCAGTCGGTCATGGACTGGAATCTCCAACCTGTGAGTCAAAATCAACCTTTCCTCTTTTTAAGTTGGTCACCTCAGTTACTGTCATGGGAAACTTGCACGCACACACACACACACACACACACACACACACACACACACACACGTGGCAGCCAGTCCTGTCCCCACTGTCACATTCTTGATGTGACAAGAGGAGAAAGGGGATCAGTGGGCCAACCACAGAGAGGCCACTACATCCACTAGGGACCCAGCTGAGTGCAGCTGCCTGGGAAAGGAGGAGGCATGGCCATTTGCCCTCCTCCTTTACACAAGTCTGTGACTTCCATGGCCAGACAAGCCAGTGAGGTCAAGGAAGTGAGCAGGAAGAGTGAAGAATCTGGAGAAAATGAAACGAACCGACTTATTAATATTATTTTCAAACACTTATTTTCAGTTTAAAAACTAATGTGAAAGTCAACTCTGCTTGCTCCTAAAACTATATATTTTTGTACCTGTATGAAGAGTGGATACATGAAAGTCCTGTAGGAGGCTGAAATGTGGCATGGCTGGGCGTTGTCACTTGCTCTTTTGAGGGATGGCAGCATGTAGGGCACGCAGGACAGAGCCCAGGCCTAGGAATCCAGCCTCAAGATAGGCGTTGTGCGCTCTCTCCCTCTCTCTCTCTCTCTCACACACACACAGGCCCGCATATGGGTCCATCGGTGAATTGTTAAGTGTGAATAAGTGCCTTTGATGTGAACACGGATTTAGGGACTGAAACACTGTCACAACAAAACACAGTTGTGTGAGCCTTGGTCCCGGGGAGTCTGCACGTGAGCACGGTGGAGGAAGGGCAGGGAGCCTGGCGGGAAGGAGCATAGGAGCCACGGGGTCTTTCACAGGCCATGCTGAAAGGCCACAGCGCTCATGATGTCGCACGTGCCACGAAAAAAGCCACAGAGCAGTGAGAGGGTGCTACACAGAGTCACAGCTGTGTGTCCCTGGGCCTGTTGCGCCTGCCTCGCGCCCCAGCAGGCAGGCTCTTCCTTGAGCAGGAGCTGTGAGCTCAGGGGATCGCTCTCAAGGGCAGGGCTCGGCCACACAGGGCAGATAAAGTGTATGGCTTCTGGGGGTTCGGTTTGGCTGAGTTCTGTCCCCTCCGTCCCCCTTTCTGATAAAATCTGCTTGTTTCATCCTCCGCAGTGGAGGTCGGGGACTCTCAGGTCAAGGCACCTGCAGAAGGGTATAGTTGGCTCTGGGGCTCCTCACCCCCTGCCTTGTGCTCGCTTTGCCCCATTAAGCCAGGGGGTCTCGGGGGCTGGAATTCATGCACTAAATGACCATCCACGAGGCCCTGTGTCTTTTCCCATAAGAATCTCCGGAACTAGCCTGTGACATAAGGCACCTTCTGACTTCCTGTACAGGCTCCAGCTGTGAACACTGAAGCACACCAGGCCCAGGCCCCAGACAGGCACGACAGAGTGGCAGGTGCTCACCTCTTTGCAGTCCAGATTAAGGCTCTGGCCTCCGATTTCCAGTTTCAGAATTTCTATCTGATAATACCACTCCTCCTTTATGGGGGTATACCAGATGTCTCCTGTATACAGACTGGGTTCAATTCCACCCAGGACCTGGGAAGGAAAGTACAGGTGTAAGAGGAAGAGCACAACCAACAGTTTCCACCTAGAAGCACTCGCTCACGGGTGAAGCCTCACTGGAATTAGCACTTGCTCTTTATTGTGATGTTGGGAAGCAAATACTGATGCTTCAAAGTTAAACGGAGAATGTCTGAGGGCCACAACTGCAAGGTCACACGGAGCCATGCCCTGGTGTAACCAAGACCCCTTGGCAGGGTCCTTATCTAAGGAAAGCACACACGACTCCAGCTTCACAGCATTGAGACCCCCACCCCAAACAGATGCAATAAGATACCTAGCTGCCCTGATGGATGGCAACGAGTGCCCTGGAGGGCAGGGACCAGGAAAGCAGAGCGCAGGGGCGTCCCCAGTCATAGCATCAGGCTGCAAGTGCGAGGCTACCCTGTCCCCTGGGAGCAGGGAAAGAAGCGCTGGGAAGCTGGGTGCAGTGGTGCACACCTGTAATCCCAGCCACTCAGGAGACTGAGACAGGAGGGTCACAAGTTCAAGACCAACCTCAGCAACTTAGCAAAACCTTGTCTCAAAAAATAAAAAGGAGGGTATAGCTGGGGACACAGCTCAGTGGTAGAGAAACCCTGAGTTCAACTCTTACTTTACACAAGAAAAAAAAAGACAAGACAGGAGTATTGGGAGCTGGTGACCATCAGCCAATGACAGTGGCTGGGATGGGTGCTGAGCATGCCTCTCAGGGTCAGGGCAGAGGGGGTGGCCAGCTCTCCCCGAGATGGACCCTCCTGTGCATCTTCCTGTCCCCTGTACTCTAGATGTCTGGGTGCAGGGTCCCCCAAGGGAAGTTCTGGCTACAATGTATCTGTGTGGCTGATAGTCTGGATGGTGTTTCCATAGAAAACACCTGCTCCCTGCGCTGTGTGCACATGTTCCTGTCTCCCAGGGAGTGCATGGCCCCCACCTACAGTAGACCCAGCTGCCACCTCCCCTCTGCTCCTCTGTGCCTTTCCTCTCCCTGAAAGCAGTGTGCTTTCAAAGGTCAATGAGGACAGAGTGAGTGGGATCTGGAGGTGCATATTTCTAGATGGTGGCATGACTAGGAAGGATAGAATCATACCCAAGCTTCTCCATTTTTAAAAGCTACTATAACGAAGAGTATCACAATGTTATCGTACCTATGTGTGCCTAGGTGTCTAAAATTTCTCATCTAGTTTTTAGTAAAGCTGAAATAACCCCATAAATTTGTGATTTTTTTTTCATCCCTTTAAGACTAAAAGATACCCACAAGACTACCTCCGTTGGTACCAGATCCGGCAATTGGCAGTCCCGCCCCACACATCTGCATGGAGAAGACGTTGGGGATCTTTGCTTGAGTCACCAGGGAATCGAAGAAGGTCTTCAGAGAGCTTGATGGCTGAGGAGGTGAAAAGAAGGACAGGGCTTCACGAGTCATGGTGGAGACGAGGGCCGCCCAGTGTGGACACCCAGCACGGTCCACGGTTCTTTGGGTCTTTCAAATTTGGAGTTTTCCAGCTAAACCACAAACATGCTTGTGATCAGGTGCGGAGACACCCGGTGGCGCTTGCTCCTGTGTGGCGCGCGCCTTCTGGAAGAGCTCTGCTGTGTAGGAAGACAGCGCTTCTGGGAGTGGTGCAGACACCCTCAGGTTGCTCACCACGGCCTCCAGGGGGGGGCGTGTGTCCACGTGGAGGTGGATCACGAGGAGGAAGTGGAGTTAACCTTGGACACTGGAGGGTGGCAGGAAACAGTGTCTCTAGGAGCTACTGCAGCTGCTGAAGCTTGACCCACCTCCCAGCAACTGCCCTACATCAAGTGACTGGTGACTCGTCCACCAGGCAGCGAGTCCCCGGCCCAGGCCCGGCCAGCTGGACTCTGGCAGCATCAGAGAGTGTCAGTGAGCCTCGGAGTTGACAAGGCTGGTGACTGAGGGGAAGGGGAGGTGCTGGGGAGCAAAACTGGCCAAACTATGCTCACGCCCGAGTAGGTGACAGGGAAACCCACTCTGAGGTGCAATTACCATGCAGCAATTAGAAAAGGACCTAGAAAGACAAAGCCCGGTGATTCCCATTGCCAAACGCAGCAGGCCTGGCTTGCTCTGTGTGTTGTCCTACAGCCTTGGTCCCCACTCACGGCTACTCATGCAGAAGACACCCCCATTTCTGCAGAAGGTCTCAAAGGGAAGAGGGGTACTCTGCAAACAACTCTACGTCGGGGAGCCAGGGCACGAGCAGCCAAGCAGAAAGTCACTGACTACAGACCTGAGTTTAGACACCTGGGAGGATCTAGATAAGCCACTCGGGGGTGGAGGGGTCAGTTTTGGATGCCATCACAACACTGAGCTGCAGAGGCGGAGGCGGAAGGTGTCCTCTGACACCTGTGGTCATTCGGCAGGAAGGGTTGCTCACCGAGTGCAGAGCCGAGATCGCAATTCTGGAGGCGAGAGGGATGAGTTCTGCCTCCCGCTGGCTCAGCCCACCCACATCTGGCCACCAGCTGGCTACCTGCAGCAGAGCTACAAGTCCAGGGACACAAGGTCCCTGCAGGAGGGTGGGGTCAGGTGGACTCTGGCCTGCCTTCCTGAGAGGCAGCAGAAACAACACCACCTGGGACTGAGGCCGGGCTCCACCCTGCTGACCAGGGTCACGCCTTTGTTTCCTGCCTTCGATAGCCATCACCTGCCAGGCCTGTTCCGGGACCTAAGGGGACCCATGATCAAGGCTCTGCTATCATTCTGCCAAGCCACTCTCCACGGGGACCCTGCCTCAGCATCCCCCAAGGGATTCAAAAACAGGCAGTTGCTCAGGACCAGCCCCAAGGGAACATGGTCTAGTGGGTGTGCAGTGGTAGCTGCCGCACACAGCCTTGGTGGGAGCACTTGGGGCTGACCAGGGACACCACACACTGTGACCTCCACTGAGTGCTCGACACCCTACTCCAGAAACACTGGGTGCCTGACCCACACCACTGTGCTGGTCCTTCCAGATGGGCCACTTCCCCCGCAGCTCCCATTACTGGCTCCTCCAACTCGGGGGCATGAAGCCAATTGTCAGTCATCTTGCAATTTCACAGATGAAGAGAGCAAAGGTCATGTGGGGGGTCTGAATAGTCCCCCCAAACCCCAAAGTAGTTTGTTCTCACAGAAGTCTTACACTCTATTAATTGCAGATAATTGAAATTTCCTCTATCATCTAGAATAATTTGCATAAAATCAATCATGCTCACATCTTTCATTTCCAAATAGCCACATAAAGATGAGATGTTTTGCCCTAGGTCACACTGTCGGTGAAATTGGATCTACTAAGCTTCTACCCGTCTGCAATCTAAGACGTTCACCTCAGGTTACTGCGGCCGCTCTGCAGAGAGGGTGAAAGGACTCGGGGTTCTGTGCTCTGAGCGGAGGGGCCAAGCCTCTCTGACCTAGCCCCACAGCTCTAACATGGGAGACCCTGGCCTTACGAGGTGGGCATCACAGGACACAAACCTCGGGTGAATGAGCAGCTTGTGATGTTCTCCCTAGGGCCTGACGGCACCCAGAACCAGGTCAGCCTTTCTCCTTGGGGAGTCGTGGGTTGGCACTACACCTGCTGCTCCTCCACACACCATGTGCTAATGAATGTGAACAGGAGCAACGGTCCCACAGGTGGGCAAACTGGCTTCCGCTCTGGATCTCCAAGGGCCCACAGGGTCTGTTGCCAGGGTCATGACCCCTCCTTCTCACACGCTGAGCTCTGCCTCCAAGCCTCAGGCTGCACCAGGAAGCCAGGTGTGGGGCCCAGGGCCAGCACCACAAGAGAGGCCCCCTTCTGCTCTTGGCGAGCCCACGCAGACCCGCCTGTCTCCAGGAGCCCAGGGCACGCCTCTGCTACCTAGCCCCGATGGTTCTGGTGACACTCCCAGGGAGAAATCCGCCTTCCTGCCCCCCTCTTCCGCACACCATTATTTCCTGGGGGTTGGCCCCAAGCACAAATATTTGCAGACATCCAATCCTGTCCCGCCCCATGATGTGAAGGCCACAATGGCCCTGAGACCCGAGGTCCCCGGTCTCCTGGCTCGTCACTCCTGGGAGGGGTTGGCCCTCCCCAGGGCAACTCAACGTGTTCCTGTTCCAATTGTGTCCCGGGAGGCTCCCCAGAGGGCGGGCGATGGCAGGACAGGGGGGCACCTCCACCTGCTGACGTCCCAGGATGCCCCCTGTCCGTGTGCCTGTGTGAACTGAACACATGCATGTTGTCTTTCAAATCTGTTTTGGTAGAAACTCCTGAAACAACTCCATAATCAACACAATTCAGATTCTGCTGACGCCTTTTAGCATCAGAACTAAAATAATCAAAAACAAAAACAAAAAAGTTCATGTTGTGATTAAATCCTGCAGGGAGGTTCCCAAGAAGTGTGCCATTTACCTTTGATTTAAAAGTGCTTGGACCTGAGTGTGCAAGCACTGGTCTGTTTCAACAGTGTGTGGGGGGGATTCTCACTGGGTACCCTCAGGGGCAGTCCCCGGCTCTTAGCCCTTTAATGGCTGGTTCTCAGACTCTCATCCAGAGTTTATGAACTTAAATAAATGGCTGAAACCCCTGGATTTGCCTCACCTTGGCCAGGGTGGCATAAGCAAGTCCAAGTATTCCATTCCATTTGATCCCAGGCAGAAAGAAATTCTCTGACTTGAAAATAGTGGCGATGTTGACAAGAAACGAACTATTGAAGCCCTTTGGGATGGTGACCACATCCTCCCCCACGAAGCCAGTCCAGCTGCCCTGTGTGTACTTCACAGTGACTTCGAAGCCCTTGAAGCGGTAGGTGCTGGACCTGCAGAAGGAAAAGAAAGGTCCACTGTATTCCGTGCACAGAGCCAGGTTCCCTGACCCACAGGGGAGAGGGTGGTCACTGTGGACAAGCAGCTGTCCCCGTCGCAGCCCACTGTAAGCAGTTCTTCATGATCAGGAGCGCCAGTGCTGACCAGGTGACCTCCTCACCAGACACCATCAGCTGCACTCTGACGACAGGGTGAGGCGCCACGTGGAAGGGCGGGTCTGGGGTATCCTGTGGCCCTCATGTGTCCTTCTCCCTCTCCTCACCCCAACCCACGAATCCCTTCAGCCTCCAAGAACACGACCAGATCTGGGCGCCTGCCTGGCCCACTGGCTTCCAAGGGACCCTGGATGCTGCTCTGTGACACAGAGGAGCCGGCAGCCCGTGAGGAGGCTCTACCAGCTCTTCCAGCAGTGACTGAGGCTCAGATTCACAACACCCAGGTGACAAAGACCAAGCCCCCTCTTGGGAGTCCAGGTCCTTCCTCTTCGGAGCCAGCATTGCCCCTGAAGTCCAAGCCCTTCTCAAGGCTCTCCTGACCCTCAGAGCTGATCACACTCTTATCCACATGGTGGCACGACCAAGAACCTGCGACTCCTCTGAACCTGAGGACCAAAGCTACTGACAGTAACATGAACAGGGGCGGCGATGGGCAAGACAGGTGGCAATGCCGTCCTCTTCAGGATCAGCCAGTGACCGCTCGGCATTGAGCACAGAGCACTCCAGGTAGCATGAGAGTGACCTGGAGCTTCTTCCCAAGATGGCGGGGAAGCCAGGGACTCCTGGTGAGAGAGGCCTCTCCGACACCAGGCACTTACATGAGGACACAGAGTCCTGCAGCTCTCTTGGGGAGAAGAGAGCGGGCGTTAGAGTCCTGGGTGTCCAGCCCTGCAGTCCTTCTTGTATCCACATGAGTCTGAAAACTCTTGGGCTATAGGAAGGAACCCCAGGAACGACTCTGGGCAGATATCTGGACGTTCAAGCCAGAAAATGACCAGGTTCCTAAGACAAGTGTCAGATCACCAAACCAACAGCCTTAGAGGGCTCTGCTTCCTGCAGTGCCGCTCCACTCTAATAAAAAGGCTGCACCACATCAACACAAGCTAACATGTCTTTATGGAGAAGCTAATGCAGTCTTGCTTGGGGTCAGGAGGAAGTTAACTCAGAGATGACATGATTCCATATTTATTTTTCATGTATCTTTTACGCTATACAAATGTCAACCATTTTTAAATATTTTTAGTTGTAGATGGACACAATCTCTTTATTTTATTTATTTATTTTTATGGGGTGCTGAGGATCGAACCCAGCGCCTCACACATGCTAGGCAAGTGCTCTACTGCTGAGCCACAACCCCAGCCCAAATCATTTTTAATTTGTTAAAAACAGTTCTGAGAATCTGACCCTGAGGATGTACTCAGGAAACGGAGACGGTCATAATGTTTTATTTATAATAGGAAACGAACCAAAGGCCTAGTAAAAAGGAAATTGTTCAATAAACTATGGTGTATTTGTATGAGAGATTATTATGCAGCAATGAAAATATGGTTTTTCAAATACCAAATATCTTCTTTGATATAATGAGAGCAACTATGAACAGAGCAAGGAGGAAGAGCAGGAAGAAAAGACTAACATTAAACAGAGTCATGAGATGGGAGGGAAAGGAAGAGTAAAGGGAAATTGCATGGAAATGAAGGGAGACCCTCATTGCTATACAAAATTACATATAAGAGGTTGTGAGGGGAATGGGAAAATAAACAAGGAAAGTAATGAATTACAGTAGATGGGGTAGAGAGAGAAGATGGGAGGGGAGGGGAGGGGGGATAGTAGGGGATAGGAAAGGTAGCAGAATACAACAATTACTAATAGGCCATTATGTAAAATTGTGGATGTGTAACCGACGTGATTCTGCAATCTGCATTTGGGGTAAAATTGGGAGTTCATAACCCACTTCAATCTAATGTATGAAATATGATATGTCAAGAGCTTTGTAATGTTGTGAACAACCAATAAAAAAATTAAAAATTAAAAAAAAAAAAAGAAAATATGGTTTTTCCTACCATTTAAGTGTCAGGGAAAAATTAAGTTGAAAGAAAAATTTGTTTCTGTGGCAAAATATTCAAAACTACTTATCACGGTCAAATATTAGCAGTGGCTGTCTCTGGGTAATGGGTTTGGTGGAGAGATGCCCATTCTTGTCGTTGAATCCTTTGGCAACTTCTGCATGTGACTTTCAGAATCAGGAAAAAATGTTATTTTAAAAAAAATGACTGGCAAAGAAATTTCAGTGCAGTTTAATTTATTCTCACTTTTATGATGGAGAAAAAACTCTGACGGGTGTTGAATTTTCATATCAGCTTACCATTTGAGTTCCCTCCACTGTGGCCCTAACGTAAGAGAAACACCTCCTGAGGAGGGGCAGGCGCAGAGACAGAGGGTGAGGGCAGCAGAGCTGGGCACCCTGAGTCCCGGCTGCCCCACCAGAAATCGCCATGGAAAGTGCAGTTGGACCTTTCGGCGTGAGTATCTGAGGATGGGTGCAGAGCCGAATTCCAGGGTTGGTGCAGATTCAGATGGGCCAGGCACTCAGGAGGGCATGCACACAGTCATGTTCAATGCCAAGAAAAACTCTGAATTATTCAGTCCCTTTTGACACTTTGAGGTCATTCCTCAAGGTCAGGAACACCACTGCTGACACTTTGAAAGGCTTTGAGAGCACGGTTTAGAAAGGAGTTAGCCCACTTTGTCCACTGAAGAGCCCACAGAGAAACGCTGCAGGCTCTGCATTGCACACGAGGCCCGTCACAGCTACTCAGCTCTGCCACCGTCACGTGGAAGCAGCCACGTGGTATGTGGAAATGGCTGTGTGGCTGGGTGCCAATAAAACTTTAGATTTATAAATGCAGGTCAGATTGGGCCCAACAGAGATAGTTTGCCAACCCCTGGACTAGCATGTTAGTTATCGTCCCCGAACAGTCTCAAGTGCGATGGCCTCCTGGGAAAGGTGTCCTGTTTTCACTGCCTCTGGTCTGTAAACAACTCCTTGGGCTAGGAACCTGAGCCCTGGGTATTAGGCGTGTCTTCCACAGTTTCCTGCCCGGATTGCTGGCCCCTGACATTGTTCTGGATATTTCAGTGTCATTGGCGGAAAGGGAGTGGCAGCCAGTTACAGCGCCTGGGTTCAGGTACAAGTTCAAGCCCCCACAAGCCTCCAGACCTGGGCCAACTCTTCAACCTCTCTGTGCTTCAGATTCCTCAACTGAAACATGGGGTCCTCCTATCAGACCCCCTGGGGTTAATTATGTGGATTACGAGAGTTAACACCACACAGCATTTAGAAAAAAAACCCCAGAACATGACAGGTACATAACCAAAATAGCTGCTATTATTATAATTATCTAATCACTTGCTACCTTCTCCAATCTATGAGCTACTATTAGAAAATTCAAGAATTTTTTTTTCAAGAAAATGTTCCTACAGAACTACTAATACTGAGGACCCAGAATTATCTCATTCTAAGTTCCAATAACCTCATGGGAAGGGGCAGCTCTTGCCCATAGGGGGCCTGGCTTTGCTAAGGAGGTTGGGGTGGGGGAGGAGCGGTCAGCCCCCTGAGCAACAGGCTTCTCAGGGGGTGAGTCCCTCTGTGCTCTGCACCAGTGCCAGAACCGGCGGTGGTGACAGTGATGTTCTGCTTTGCCACTGCCCAACATGGCAGCAACACGTGGCTACTGAAACTTGAAATGTGACAATAGTGTGACTGAAGAACTGAGCCTTTGTTTCATTGAGCGTTAATGAATTTAAGCTTAAATGGTTACATGGGATCACTGGGTACTCTTGCAGAAACACAATTCGAGGTAATGTGAGAAAGAAGAGTAGTTCTGAGCCCTTCTCTCTGGGTTTCTTTCACTAAACCTCAAAGAATGGAGTCCTGGAGAAGAATCATAAGCAGCTCTATGGATGATTAGCATAGGATTTCCAGAACTTTAAATTAAAAAAAAAATTCTTCTACCTTCATTTTCTAACATCCTAATTCTTGGCACTGAATGGCCAACTGCTCTGTTCATTAATTAAATATACCCAGAGAGAACGCTGGGTGGGCTTCTCATATGTAAGGTCCATTCCAGTGCTCAGAAATAACAATCTGTCAGGGACAATCTGTGGGTGGCAGGAAAAAGTCCAGTCACAGCAACAAACACACTTTGAACCAAACTCAGAAGACAGTCTGCCTCCAAGAAGAGAGCTCAGGGGACTCAGGATTAAAAAGCAAGGTCAGTCGAAGAGGAGAGCAGAGCCGGAGAGCGTCTTATTGTTTTAAATGAAGCCCACCAATGCTTCCAGAAAACAGAAAAGAGAAGCCGGAAGGGCAGACTCAAGGCAGCTGAATCCTTGGGCGGCTCTGGGTCCCCTACACCAGGGAACGCTGGGTCTCCTGAAGAATTCTGCCTGAGCCTCCCTGGGGTTCTCCTGAACTTTTCAGGGTTGGAATCCACCTGTGGGCGGGGTGGCCTGGCCCAGATGACCAGAGGTCCCTTGCTCTCTTCTGTAAGTCTCGAAGTTACCAGAAGGAACAGATGGAACCCGTGGGGTTCAGGGCAGCTCAGCAAGCCTGCCCAGCCTCGTGGGTCCCCAACAGCCCCTCAGCAGTGACCATTACTCACAGGCCTCTAATAGAGCCAGTCCCTCCGGGAAAGCACAGGCGTAGGAAAGCACCTAAATAGTCAGCAAACAGATCTGTCACTGTTACAGGGAAAGGCATGTGATCCGTGTCCAGTCTGGCCTCTGTAGAGAAGGCACCAGGTGCGTCTTCAGTCCCCGAATCCCACTTCCAGGCCTCATTTACAGAGAACAGTTGGCTCCTCGCTACACCCTCTCTGTGGGCTTTGCTTACATGCAGCCCAGGTTCCTGGAAATTTTAATGGGAATATATACTTAATTTCCTGACCAAATCAGTAGAGGGTCAAGGGGTGTGTATATTGGCTTTCCCTCAAGCCAACAGGCCAGAGGCTGTTTTATTGGCTAAAAAAAAGTACATTAAAAAAAAAAAAACATACACAATTCTTTCCCCACTGCATAGTCATCCACTGGAGCACTCGCGACCGTGGAAGAAGTTCTGACGGAGACTAGCTATGCCAATGACTCACGGCAGCCCGACCTCTCATCCCATAAATCAAAGCCACCTTGCCCAAAGCGCCAAGCCAAACTTCCAATTACTGTAGAGTGCTTCAGGAGACATTAAACCTGAATGCCCGGAGACTGGGGACTTGAATCAGAGGCTCAAACCCAACCAGAAACCCTATTACAGCTGAGATCAGAGGCCCGGACTCACACTGAAACCTCACAGCGCAAGGGGCCACATTTCAGAAAAGACCTTTGTCCAACACGCAGAAGGGAAGAGAACACTCTCTGTGCTCCCGCTGAAGAAGGGCTGAAGGTGCACCATAGGCCCAGGCCAAAGTCGGGGGAATGCATCGGACAAGCTAGCCTCACAGCAAGTCATGGAGAGAAAACACCGGGATCTTGAAATAATGGATCTGTGTCGGCCACATGCCTCCCAGAAGCTTGGAAAAAGAGAAGGAAAAAGAGGGGACTCACCTGCAAGGCCAGCCTGGGACAGGCATGTGGCCTGGGGCACAGAGCCCACCAAAGGTCACAAGTGTGAAGCTTCATGTCTGACTCGACCGAGAAAAGAAGTGGCCTTCGAGCCCTGCTGAGGAGCCGTCTCCTGAAAAGAGGCAGGACCAGGGCAGGAGGCCTGGCCGCAGTGCAGCTTTGAACAAGCAAACTCAGCAGTACCTGCTGGCAGGCAGTGGCCATGGGCCAAAGTGACCCCTGGGGCAGCCCAGGGCTCTCCCTGGACATGGGTGTGTTCTTATTCTGTTTTTATCTACTCACAAGAGGAGAAGCAGATCAGAAACTGGAGTGGCCAGAGAGCCGAGGGCAGGTCTGTGTCCTCTGGTGGGATGAGCAGGAGGCTCGGCCATGCAGGGAGCTGCGTGCACCTCAGGAGTTTGCTCCAAGTCAGGGGCAGATGGCCAGAGAAGCCCAGCCTTTAGGTGGGGTAAAGGGACCCACCTGCCACCTGAACACCAGGCTGGCTGTGTGCACGAAATCCACTTGGACCAGCCAACAGGGAGGTTAGACAGATGTGGCCTCCTGGGGCCTGATGAGAACAAAGAGCACAGCAGAGCCCAGGGGAAGGACCCCGGTAGTGTGGTTGATTAGCCATGGCTCGTGTGTGGAGGGCGGTGCGTGGTTTGGCGGTGGTGGCTGTTATTTACCCCTGGGTGGAGGCATTGGCACAGGGTCTGGGTGGAGAAGCCCATCTGACTTCTGTGGGGCTGGCAATTGTCAGCCACCAAAGAACCCCATCTACCTAGAGTCTACAAGTGACCACCACTGTGTGAAGTCTGCACGTTTAAACCCGGAGGCGACTGTGCACACTACCCGGACCTGGCTCTCAGGTCTCTCTACTGTGACTAATGTCAACAGATGTATGATAAGGAATGAACTTATTTGGGATGTGAACCTGCTCGGGCTTGTTCCTCCTGCCTCCGTGTCCTGAGCACCCCACCCAGGGGAACCCGAGTCGGTGTGCAGAACAGACCAGAACCTGCTCAGAATGGACACAGGGCTGGACAACTTTGTCACCAGGAGCAGTTCTCAGCGAGGAGGACACTATCCCCTGTGGGAGAGTGGTGGAAACTCTGGGGGCAGTTTTGGCCACTGGTGGGCCAGCATCAGGCACAATGGCTATCCTAGAAGCCCTTGTCCCTCATCCCTGTCCACGTTCTGAGCCCCTCTGGGCACGCACATGGGTGAAACCCCACCTGAGCCCCAGATGTGCCTCCCTTTCACATACACACTGAGTATTTTCTATGTGGGTTTAACAGAAGTTGGATATTAACTGCTATGTAAATAAGATGGCAGGTGATAACTTCTTCTTTGAACTTCACCAGGATTCTTCACCACGTCAGACACAACGTCAACAACCCAAGCTGCGCTGCGGGTTGGAGTCTTACTCAATCAGCCCTGGTCAGTCTACACTGGGTGATACGCAGCCACAGTGGTCCCCACACAGCCTCCAGGCCCTGCCCTCATGGTTTCCTAGTGTGCTCGAACCACAGGTCACCTTCAGAGACAATGACTATCTTACTACACATCCCTTTCCTTCCTTCCACCCGCACAGGTGTTTATTTCCTGAAATAAAATAAAGCTTGGTGTCTTGGATTTTGGAATGTTCACATACCCACAATGAGCTACCTCAGGAATGGGAATCAACTATAAAAGCAAAGTTCACTTATTTGCACCTTGGACATGTAGCCTGAGAGTCATTTTATACAGTATTTCTGGTGCACCTGTTTTGACCATGACCTGTCACCTGAGTCCAGGAGTGGACGTTTCCGCCTGTAGCATCATGTCAGTGCTCAAGAAGCTGGTGGACTTTGGAGCACGTCAGATTTGGGACTAGGAGTGTTCCACGTGTGAGCTCCATAGGGCCATTCAGAATTATGTATGTAGGTTAAATTATGTTTCCTGGTTGCTTTCACTTGGGGTGACACAAAGCACTCGTCACGAGGAGGGTGTGGGGTGGAAGGCCCGGGCCTGCTGTGCAGAATCAGGAAGGTGGGTGGGTTGCTGCCTACTTGACTTCCCAGGCCATGTGGATAAACATGGGAGGTTTGGAGCAACCTGGCGTCCCGTCCCACAACCAGGCCACCCAGAGTGAGCAACTGGAGGTGGGAGCTGTTTGTGGGCAGAGGACTTGGACGAACCTGCGTCTGAACGGGAAAGGACAGCCATGGCCCCTTTCGCACCGAGGAACACCACCCACTTCTATGCGTGTTCGTGGTTACAGCACAACTTCTGGCACACGCTGATCTTCTCGTTCCCCAGGCCATCATGGGCCAGCTAGTGTACCCTAAGAAATCTTACAACATGTGGAGTCGCGTGCTGCGCTCTCAGTTCCTTGCGGGAGGGGTGCCACTTTGTTCTGTGGCTCTGTGGGGCTCCGCATGCACTGGCCACCGCTCCCCCTACAGCCAGCAGCTGCAGCTGCGCACCCAGGTCACTGCGCCATTTCTGCCCCACAGGGGAGCCGCAGGGCAGCCACACAGGACTGTTCTGGGGGCGTTTTGTTTCCCACGCCGAAGCCTCACTTTATTAAGTCGCCAAGGTCCTCAGAAACCTCGAGCTCTTTTCCCTGTTTTCTGGCAGCTAAATCTGGGCTTTAGTCCTCGGAATAAAGACTGTGGATAAGGAAAGTGAGAGGGGCGGAGATGCCAAGGGTCTGCCGCCATCGGGAATCCCGCCAGCAGTTCTCAGGCTACGGGAGTTTGTGACTCTAAGAAGAAAGCCCTTGCATGTCGGCAGGCTTGCTCCGCCTGCTCCCTTTGAGCTTCACAAAAACTGACGTGAAGTCCAAATGTGGACAGCATTAGAGCAGCTTCAAGTGCCCAGAGGACGGGACTCCAGATCCAGGGCTCTTGCAGAACTGGAGGGTGACAGGAGGCCACTGGGGACCCTCCCTGCACCCACTCAGAGGTCCTCTGGAGCCAGTAGTCCTGGCCCCTGCACTGGGCACAGCTTGCTACTCCAGAGACCTCCACCTTTCTCACAAGTCCATCCCATAGCTGCCCTGTGGAGCCCCTCAGTGCTTAGTGCTTAGATCATGTGCTTTGTGCTCAGCACCCTCACTCTTTCCAAATGAGCCACTGACTTCTTTCCCCAGATACCTCCCCACAGCGATGTTCCTGTGAACTGTGCCCTAACCGTTCTGAACGACGGGGCAACGCAGAGCTGGCTTTGCATGCTTACCCCTGCCTAGAGTGGCCCCTGCCTGAATGGCCACACTCTCACATGGTGCTCCTCTGCCCACACCTCCCCACGCACACTGACGGCTCACAAGCTCTGCACTCTGTGTAAGTGCAGAAGTTGTTTCACTTGACAATGCATAAGGTGACCCTCCTGTGGATGCACCGAGGCTACGTAAGGGGGATTGTGTGATGGATTCCCCAGAAGAGAAACACGCACATACATACATGTGCATCTACATATATACATGCATGTTCAGGTACACATCCAGACACAAGCACAGATAACGAGTGTGTGTGTGTACACATACGTGCACACACACACCCTGAAAGTGAGTCAGTCTTCTGGCTGGTTTGTTCCAGTATATTCTACATGCCGATTCATGTGGTGTCCCCACCCAGCCAGGCCCGCTCTGGACCCACCGCTTACCTCTCTGCGTCAAAGTAGGTGTCTACGTAGGAATGGGGGGCACCTGCCACGGCGAAGTTACTGCTTCCAGTGTCGACGAGAATCTGTAGCTTTTATTTTTTTAAGGAGACAAAATAGAAAGTATCATAAGGCAAAAGCTTGTACTGACTGGGGAGGCTGTTGTAAACCGAATCAAACAGAGTCTACCAAGAAGCCTGCAGCAAGGAGCGGCCTCCTCAGGCACACACAGCCTGGGAAACAGCCCTGCAGCCACTGCATCTCCCCTCAGGCCGCTGGGACTGGCTAACAAGGCCGAGCCTCCGGCAGCCCCCAGCCCCAGCTGGTGCCCTGGTTCCCTGGCTGGGACACCCTCTTCCTGCCTTCCCAAATCTCTGGGGAAACCAGATCCAACATGGCCTCTCTCCTCAGCAGCCTCTTACTGGCCCCCTCGCCCCTCTGCAGATGTCCCTGCAGAGTGCCTGGGGACCTCTGCCCCAGTCCTGCTTTTGTAGCTTGATTACAGTATGATTTCTGTACAATAAAAATGCAAGATCTGAAATTCGTGTGAGACTATGGCCATACCACCCTGAAGGTGCCCAATCTCGCCTGAAATGCTCCGTGAGGGCTGCCACAGTATGTCCTCAAACCAAGATGCAGAACTTCTGTTGTCCCTGAAAGGTCCCCCTGGCGCCTCTTCCCCAGAAGCTGCCACGCACGTTCCGACTTCTATTACCATGGAACGGCTTCAGGCGCTCCTGAAGGTTCTGTGAGGGCCACGGGGAGGTGCTGGGTTTGCTCTCTTGCTGGGGTCTTTGCTCTTGGAGTCTCCGCGGCGGAGGGGCGTTCCTCCACGTGCGCGGCAGTGGGTCTGCTTCTCTAGATGGGGTTGGCTGGTCTCCAGTTGAAGGCTGGTGTGGGTGAGGCTGCTGTGGACGCTCCTGGAAGTCTTTGGACAGATGCTTCCATTTCTCTTGGGTAAATATCCAGGACTAAACCTACTGGGTCACAGGGTCAAGATGCCTTTCTAGTGTTTTCTAAATAAACTGCTGAGCAGCTCTCCAACACAGACATACAAGATGCACTCGCGTGGCAATGCGCCAGGGTCCACTCTGCTTATTTGCTCCATATCCTTCCCCAAATCTGGTTTTGGTGGCCTTTGTTTTTGCTACCAGTGGAGATAGTGGCGTCTTGCTGAGGCTTCCTGCACCTCCCCAGTGACCAATGCTGTTGACCTGCTGCCTGTCCACGGTTTGGCCCATGTTACCAGTCAACAATGGCACGAGGGGAGGAAGGGTGGGTTGCCCCTCTTTATGCCCAGCACTATCCCAAGTGCAGACACATGGCCAGCTGTTTAGAGAGTGAACAAAGCCTCTAGAACACAGAGTAGGTAGATGAAGCCCAAAGGCTGAACATCAAGTTTCAACAGCTAGAGACAGGAAACAGAACAGGCAAGCTTCTGTCCAGCATTATCTCATGGACAGACTGCTGCCTTGGCCAATACCCTCGGTTTTGCTAAGTCTAGAACTTTCTATGCCCCCAACCCCCACTTATTCGACCCAGCCACAGAATTTGGCTCAGGTTCAACCCCTCCTTTTGGAAATTCCTCCTTCCCCTTGGACTCTGGAACTCCAGCCTTCCTGAATATTCCCCCTGCTTCTGCAACTCCCCACGCCCCTGCTGCTGGATGGAGTTGCCCAGGGCTCAGCCTGGCGTGGTTTCTGCCCTCTAGACTCACACCCTGGTATCTGTAAAGGCCTCCTCTCACCCCTGAGCCCCAAGCTCACAGCCAGTCCGTTCCTGACCCTGGACTCCAGGCTTCACCGACCTAACACCTGCATTTGGTGTTTCACGGCCTTCCGGTGTTGAAACCCCAACCTCACACCCTGAGTGGACGTTGTCGGGAAACAGGGTCTTCCCGGAGCTGGTCAAGTTAAGATAGCATCCCTAGGGTGGCCCATCAGAAACACGCAGGAGCTGCATGTGACAATCGAGGCAGGGGTCAGGGTTGCACAGCCTCAGGACACCAGGGACTCACAGCCACCACCAGGAGCTGGAAGAGGCAGGGCAGGCTTCTCCAGGACCTCAGAGGGAGCGAGGTCCAAAGGAGCACCAAACAAATCTGCATTCATGGTTTCCCTTGGTAGCTGGGGGATTGCTTCCAGGACACCCTGCAGGTACCAAACTCCAAGGAAGCTCAAGTCCCATATACAAAGTGGGGGAACCCACACACATCTTCCTGCATATTCTAAATGCAGATTAAATGACTTATCAGACTACTTCTAATACCCAGCAGGATGTGAATGCATGCAAAGAGTTGTTAAACTGCACCGTGTAGGGAACAACAGAACGTCTGCACATATTCAGTACTATTTTTTTTTTTAAATATTTTTGATCCCTGGTGGTTTGAATCCTTGGATGTGGAACCTAGAAATGCAAAGGGCTGAACTGAACTTGGAGTTTGGTGGAGAGGAACTGGTGGATGCTAAGAAATCATGTTATGTATTTTAATCATCAATCAGAGGTTAAAACAAGTGGGTGCGCTGAACCTCATGGTGCACGCCTATAATCCCAGTGGCTCAGGAGGCTGAGGCAAAAGGATCACAAGTTCAAGGCCAGACTTGGCAACTTAAGGAGGCCCTGAGCAACTTAGTGAGACCCTGTCTCAAAATAAAAAAATAAAAAGGTCTGGGGATGTAGCTCAGTGGGTACAAAATAAACAACAACAATAACAAAAACAAGTGAAGGAGACCCATCTGTAGCTCAGTCTCACTGAACAAATCCCTCCTGTAGGGCCAGGTTCCCTTTTCTTCCTGTTCATAAATACTAAATCTTTAGGGGCTGGGGATATAGCTCAGTTGTCTCCCATGCACAAGGCCCTGGGTTCAATCCCCAGCACCACACACACACACACATACACATACACACACACACACACACATATAAGACTAAATTTTCAGAGGCTCACCTCCAGGCATGTCGGACTTGCTGGGCAGTTTTTAATCCCTTCATCTTTTTTAAGAGATGGTTGACTCCACACCCACCCGACCACACACATTTTTCTTAACTCTATCATTTCCTGTATCTCGGTTTCTGTTTTAATGTTTCTTACTTTATTGTTATTTTTTAAATCTTTACTTTGGAATTCCCTGGTTTTTAAGAATTCTTGTAGTTTGCAAGCTCTGTATCCATTTTAACTCGTTTTTTGTTGTCTTACAACTTTACCTGATGCCTTTAACCTCTTGTCTTGATTTCACAACTTAGAATGGCTCTGTGGCTCCCCACTCTGAGATCTGACAAAATTGGCACACAGCTAAGCCCGTGACGGTGGGTGTTGTAAGATAAGGAGGGACGGGGCACACGCTGGCTCACACCCTTTTTATTCCTCTGGGCAGCTCTGTTTACAGTTTCACGTGGTGCATTTGAGCGCTCCTGCTTTTACCTGCCTGGCATTTTACCCTCCTCTGTCTGCCCGCCTTGGCCCTCCTAGATGGCCGTGGATCTCTGCCCCAGGAGCCTCTCCACGGCTCATGCTGCTGTTTGCGCCCTCTCGGGGGTTGCTTGTGACAATCACCTTTGCCACCGCTGCTCAGTGGTCACAGCAGTCGCAGGCCCAGGCTGGCTCCTCCAGGTCCCTCGTGGGAGCTTCTGCTGGGCGTCCTGTGGCCCCCAAGATAGCCATCTTCTCCAGTCCCTTCCTGTTTGGGACACAGCGCCAAGACTCTTACACTTGAAGAAGGGTTGCCTGGGCTCTACACGCCTGAGTCACGTGTTCCTCTGAACAGCATATACGTGTTTCTCTAGTACTTGAGGGAAATCTGAGGACTGTTTTATTCTTTCCTTTTCCCCTGGCGCCTGGAGATTTTCTTCCTTGGCCTCGCAGCTCCACTGTACCGTCCGACTTCACACTGGTTGGCCGATTCAACCTTCCCATTGGTCTTCTAGGGCTGCCGTAGCACATAGCCGTGCCGGGGCGTCATGAAACAATACACGCCTATTCTCTCCAGGTTCTGGAGGGGACAAGTCCAAACTCTAGGTGTCGGCAGGGCTGAGAGCCCCAGAAAAGCTCTAAGGGGGGGGGGGTCCCTCCTGCCTCATCTGGCTTCCAGCTTGACCAGCAACCCTTGGCATCCCGTTCACTCTGCACTGACAGGTGCCGTGAATGGATGTGGACACATACTGTCCATCTTCGAGGTGGGCCTGTCTCTGAGCCTCCTCACTGCCTGCAGAGCTGGCTTCCATGACTCCTTTGTAGCCAGCTCAGGGTGACTCAAGAGCTGAGGTCCATGCGGAAGAGTGAGGTATCTGGGGTCTTACCATTGCAATGGGTTCCAAAGCACCCTGTCTAGTGCCAAGGCTACTGCCTGACCGGCAGACACCCTGGGCGCTGACACGGACTGACACACTCACGTCACATGGCCCTGTGTCCTCCTCCTCCTGTCCACGTCCTGAGTGTAAATGTTTCCTGGGGGCAAGATGAGCCTTGAAGCTGCGGGGTGAAGGGGTTTGGGAGGGTGAAGACCCACAGAGCCCTGAACCACTTGGGATCCCTTCCTGGGGCCAATCCAGGAGTCCCAGCTTTCAAGAGGGCAGTGTGCCTGCAAGGCAAGGGATGTCGCCACCTCGAGGCTGACTCCTGCACACGGTGGCAGAGATTTTTCTTGGTCACTAAAGCCACAGATAATAAAAGCCATGGGATCTTGAACAGGAGCAGCTGTCCCCCGGGCCTGCTGTCAGTCTCAGAAGCAGGCCATGTCACCCGCGTTTCCCGGGTCTCTCCGGCAACCTCGCACCCAGCAGCTGCAAGACGCAGGCGAAATGCCAGCATGGCCCGGCCACCCAGCGCCCGCAGGCTCTGCCAGGCAGACGGGCATTCCACGTCCACACTGGCGGCTCCCACACCCCAGGCCTGGCTGAGGCGGCAGCAAGACTATTGTCCTCCATACAATAGTCCCAGTGCCCGGGAGCTTTCTGGGCAGACGTTCCGCCCTGCTCTCCTGGGTCTGGAATTCCTGCCTCCCAACTCATAAACAGGCTTGTTGACACCCGTCCTGGGCCTTGCTGCTCCTTTGCAGAGGCGGGGAACGCGGCACAGAGACAGTCAGACCCAGGCGTGGGCTGCAGCGCTTCACACTGACCATCTCTTCTCATTGCCCAGGAGTTCAGGACAGTCACACCCCCCGAGGTTTCCTCAGAAGTCAGTTTTCAAGAGCATTCAGTCCAGAGCTGTGGCCATGTAAGCAGGCCACCAGGTGACAGGTCATTCTTACATATCCAATCTGAGGACAGAAGTCGTCCTAAGTAAACAAAGCAGGCTCCAAGTCAGGAGTGGATGAAAATCCAGGGGCTGACACCCCCAGGCCGTTCCGCAGCGTCAGAGGCAGACACGTTAACACAATTTGTGCTCCCTGAGATGCAGCCCCACCTGCGCAAGGAGTTCAGCGGCAAAGGAAAAAAGACCATCAACGCCCTACAGGTTTCCCAGGATGCACTGAAGTACCTGGCGCTCCAAAACTCAGCCTGTGGGCTTCTTCCAGAACCCTCATCCCGCAAAACTCAGGCTCTGTCACATGACCCTGTGTCCTCCTCCTCCTATCCATGTCCCAGGGATTTCTAAAATCATGACCTGCATCTTTGGGTTCACTTCATGTGCATGCACTCCTACTGTACACACACTTGTGTGCACACCAGCCCAGCTCTAGACTACATCATTCAGACTCCTAAAAGGATACTGAAGTCACAAATTCAGAAAATG